GAATGTTAAACGAAATTTAGAAATATGTGCAAAAGTTGGTTTAACTAATTTTCAAATTGAAATTGTTACTGATAAACCAATAAATATAATTGGTTTACCATTAAATATGATTCGTCAAGTTGTTATACCACATGATTATCGAACAAAAACAGGTGCACTTTATAAATCTCGTGCATTACAATATGCTATCGAGCCTGATGTTAATCAATTAGCACCTGATGATTATATTGTACATCTAGATGAAGAAACTTTATTAACAGAAAATTCTGTTCGTGGAATATTAAATTTTGTCAATTCACAAGACTACGACATTGGACAAGGTTTAATAACATATGCCAATGAAACAATTGTTAATCATATAACAACATTAGCTGATAGTATGCGTGTTGGTGTGGATTTAGGATGTTTAAGATTTTGTTTGAAGAAATTTCATCAACCACCATTTTTATTCAAAGGATCATTTGTTGTATGTCGAGCTGGATGTGAATTTGATGTTACATTTGATAATGGACGTGCAGGTTCAATAGCTGAAGATACATATTTTGCAATGTTAGCTATGTCAAAAAATAAAAAATTTGGATGGATTGAAGGTTTGTTTAATGAGTCTTAATTGATAACAGGAAATAATTATTATTTTCTTTTTTATTTCTAGGTGAAATGTGGGAAAAAAGTCCATTTACATTAACAGATTTTATTAAACAACGTAAACGATGGTTACAAGGAATTTTTCTTGTTGTTCATGATAAACATTTACCATTACGAGTTCGAATTGGATTAGGTATTGCACTTTATTCATGGATTACATTACCATTGACTTCATTGAATGTTATTCTTACTCCACTTTGTCCTATACCATTACATTGGACGTTAAATTTTTTAATTGGTTATATTGGAGCTGTTAATATTTATTTATATGTAATCGGTGCAGTTCGATCATTCTCATTAATACGTTTAGGTTATGCACAATTTGCACTTAGAATATTTGGTACATTAGCAACAATTCCATTTGTAGTTATTTGCGAAATAACTGCTGTACTTTGGGGCTTATTTAGTGACAAGGGAAAATTTTATATTGTCGATAAACAATTAGGACCAATGATTAGCGTTTAAAATTAGATGAATTCAATCTCTTTTTGTGCTTTTGTTTGTTTTTTCTCGAATGTTTAAACATCTATCTTTTTTTTTCTTCCGTTACCGAATGATAAGTTTTGTAGTAGTATGTTCTTACTTTAGAACCTCAACCTTATGTTTGTCAGATGATGCTTTTTGTTGCTTTATTTAGTTGAATTATATAATATTATAAAAATAATAATCGAAAATTAAGCAATACTTCCTTTTTTTGTTTTTTTGAAAAATAACCATATTTCATTTTTCAGATATTGTTTGGATATTCTAACGAATAATATAATTTTCTTTAGATTTTTTTTTGTTATTGTTCTGGCCTCGACTGGAGCTGGAGCTATAATAAAGGACGATCACTCATCATCGTCTGCTGCTGGTAGTAAATCAAAATCGAGTTCGATGAGTTCATCAGAAGAAGGTATTGACAAGAAGAATTCTTCTAATCTTATTTAATTTTTTTCTTCTATAAAATAGTTTCGTGGATTTCATGGTTCTGTGGCCTTCGAGGCAATGAATTCTTTTGTGAAGTTGATGAAGATTATATACAAGATAAATTTAATCTAGTAAGTGAATAATATATAAAAGTAAACTTTTTGATTATTTTTTTATATAGACAGGTCTCAATGAACAAGTGCCTCATTATCGTCAAGCACTTGATATGATTCTTGATCTTGAACCTGATGATGATCTTGATAATCAAGATAATCCAAATCAATCAGATTTAATTGAGCAAGCTGCTGAAATGCTCTATGGTAAGCAAATTCTAGACATGTAATTCTAACTATATCGATCAATTCTATTTAAATAGGTCTTATTCATGCTCGTTATATTTTAACGAACAATGGTATAGCACAAATGCTTGAAAAATTTCAAAATGGTGATTTTGGTCTTTGTCCTCGTATTTATTGTGACAATCAACCAATGCTACCAGTAAAAATTTTACGTTTTTATCTATTTCATTTTTACCTAATAACTTTCTTATAATAGATTGGTTTATCAGAAGTTCCTGGAGAAGCTATGGTTAAACTTTATTGTCCTAAATGTATGGATGTTTATACACCAAAAAGTTCACGACATCATCATACAGATGGAGCATATTTTAGTACAGGTTTTCCTCATATGCTATTTATGGTTCATCCAGAATATCGACCAAAACGACCAACAAATCAATTTGTTGCTCGACTTTATGGTTTTAAAATTCATTCAATGGCTTATCAATTACAATATCAAGCTGCATCGAATTTTAAACAATCAAATTCAAGTTCTGTTATTCCAAGTAGTGCTGGAGGAACAACAACAACAACTCGACCAGTTATTAAAGAATAGTTAAAATATGAACAAGATTATTCCTATCTATCTGTTATTGTTGCTTATCCTATGTATATGTCTTTCTTTAGAAACAACAACTAAATAAAAATACCTTAAGAAAAAAAAGATAGTTCTAAAGATTCATTTGATCTTACAAAAAATAATTCTTATGTGTTGTCATTGAAAGATGAAAAAAAACGAGATCATATTATCTCTGTAACCAAGAGAAGAAAAAAGTTTTTATATTTGATTATTTCTAGATGCCAAACGGAGAAGATGTTCGACTTAAAGTTAATCATGTTAAGAGTAAGAAAGTTGAAGGAACATTATATATGATGAGTGAACGTATGGGCTGGATGCCAAAACATAAAGATGTATTTACAATATCGTTTGATTATTGTGATATTAAATGTAAGTTGTTCTTCTAATTTGATGAAATAAATAAGTATGTATATATATGAAGATCATCGAATATCATCCGATCAAAAATCTAAAATACGTTTACAAATTGTTTGTTATAATGAAAATATGACAACATTCCATTTTTGTAATCCAGTGGGATTAGATGCACAAAAAAAAGATCGTGATGCTGTTTCCGATCTATTGAAAACACTATTACCAGAATTTAAAACAATGATGGATCAAGCACTCGAAGTTAAAACTAAGTAAGAAATTATTCTATTCTATACTGAATTTTCATGTCTTTTTATTTTTTTGTAGAATTTTGAATGAAAATAAAACAGTTTATCAATTGTATAAAGATCTAGTTATAAGTGGTTTAGTACCAGCCGATGATTTTTGGAGTAAATATGTTGATTTTGATAAATTAACCGAGAGTACAAAAAAACAAAATACCGGTATATCGGGTGCATTTTTAACAAATATTCGTCCTGAATCCGGTGATAATGGTGGTTTAATTTATAAACTGAACACAGATACAATTATGTCTATTTTTCGTACATATCCAGCAATTCGAGAAAAATACGAACAAAATGTTCATACTGGTCATATGAATGAAGCTGATTTTTGGCGAACTTTTTTTCAATCACATTATTTTACAATGGATCGTATGAATCCATCTCATAC